CGTTATGAAAACGGCGTTTTAATATCGATACGGCGGTGGAAAGCGTGCGAATTATGACCCATATGGCTTTCCATAAATTTCTTGATAATTGCACATCTAGCTGAACAATTTAATGAATAATACGTTCTGATTGCCCTGATCACATCTTTTATTCCATTTTGAGTCCATGCATAATCTCTATTATATTATTTACCAGGGCATTCATGCATATGCATATGAAGGAGGCATATTAATTACCTTTATAAGCTTTAATGTAGAGTAAAACAACATTGAAAAAATGATCATGTCCACAGCAAAAATTCTACTGCCTTTTTATTTTAGTAAAATGTTCTTATTTTCCTTAAAGCAAGACAAATTCACTACAATTTTAAAATGTATTAAAACATCTTTTAAGAGAATGTATCTTGATTACTTTATAAAAAATGTTTCTTGAGTGATATTTCAGCTATTCTCCATACAATAAAAGGGAAATGTTACCAGGACTGTCATGCTCCAACCATGGCAAAAAATTAATAAAAAGCCAAGACAGTATCATAAAAGACTATTTTCCTATATAAGTCTTCAGAAGTCTTTCTATAGCTGTGTGTGAGGAAAAGAGAGAACATTGAGCTGTTTCTGAGTAGAAATTAGCATATAGCCCCAAAAGTATGTGTGGAAAATATCACCAACCCAATGTTTCCCTGTGCTTCTGATAAAACAGCTTCCCCAGACATGCTCTTTGGGAACCCTGAGCAAAGCTTTCAAACACTGGGCATTTTTCATTAATGCCTGGAGAACTTCACATTTATCAAATGTATGACTGTAGGACACATGCAAGATGCTGAAACTTCATGCTACGAGAGATGAGCACAGCACTACAGGCCCATGTATCTTCAAAATGACATATTTAGTCAGAATTAAAACATGAAGATATATGTTACACCATTTCTGGATGCATGTGGCCCGTTTCTAAAAAAAACTAGACACTCTCATTATAATCAACATATTCTACATTATCTACACTGCATGCTCTTGATGTGATGATATCCCCAATCAGAATTTCTATTTTTGAAGTCTATTTTTCCCCATTAATCTGAAATAAAACAATTTTAGTTCCAAATTTGACATCCAACTGTTACACCAGAGAAAGATTGTAATGTTTTTGGTCTCTGGAATTTTCATTTAAACATCATTCACAATTATTTAAAGACTGCAATCTGATTCATTTCAGAGTGAAACATGCACCTGAGCGAGATAAAGACATTACAAACCCATTTTTACAACTTTTTTTTCTTCAGAATAATTACCAATGATTACTTCTCAACATGATCAGGAATGTGCATAAAAAGATACAGTAAATTTAGTTTTTAATCTGACTTGCAATAAATTTTAACATACATTACCATCACGTACCAAAAGGATGCAATAAATTGATTAAATGTGACAGTAAAGACATTTATAATGTTATAAAATATTTCCATTTCTAATAAATGCCGTTCTTTTGAACTTTCTATTCATCAGAAAATCTTGAAACAAAAATGTATCTCGGTTTCCACAAAAGTATGAAAGTTTTCAACTTTGATAACCAGTAATGTTTCCTGAAAATCAAATCAGCATATTATTATGATTTCTGAAGGATCATGTGACACTGAAGACTGGAGCAATGATGCTGAAAATCCAGCTTTGATCACAGGAATAAATTACTTTTTAAAATATATTAAAATAGAAAACAGTTCTTTTCAAATGTAATAATATTTCAGAATATTACTGTTTTTACATGTATAATTGATCAAATAAATGGAGCCTTGGTGAGCAGAAGACACTTCTTTCAAAATTCTTACTGACCCCAAACTTTTGAACTGAAAATGTTAACAAATATATAAGAGCAAACATCCACTTCAAGGAAAGACTCCAAGCTTCTCCTTCAGTAAAAGTTGTGCGTCTTGTGTCATAATATAAGGGTGTCTAGGACAGCTAATGGACCAGGGGCTGTTGAATGATGATTTAAATCAAGACACTGAGTTCGAATGGCTCTCTGAAAGAACCTTGAGGGTTACAAACACTTTTCCACCGTGTCCTTGTCCAACTCTGCAAGGTTTGCGTTTCTCAAATTGCACACGGTCTCCACTCTAGTGACTTACCGATGCTAGATATGAGAGAAACAGAGAGCGAGGGCTGACAGAATGGGGTTGAAGGGTCATGTCGAGGAGACTAATTGAGCCGACAGAGGGAAGTCACTACTTTGGTACCACATTTCAATGGTGACCTGTCAGAATCGCTGAGACTCTACAGGGGCCATAGAGTCACTTTCTGACAGCACCAAATCTTTTTGTGTAAACTTTTACATTTAATGGTTCTTATAGACAAAAACTTAGTTTCATGAGTTGTTCGGTTAAAGGAACAGTTCACCCAAAAATGTATTCACCCTCAGGCCATCCAAGATTTAGATGAGTTTGTTTCCTCATCAGAAAAGATTTGGAGAAATGTAGCATTGCATCACTAGCTCACCAATGGATCCTCTGCAGTGAATGGGTGCCGTCAGAATGAGAGTCCAAACAGCTGATAAAAACATCAGAGTAATCCACAAGTCATTTTACAATTTTAAACAACACTTCAAACAGTTACTAATCCTTCATCTATAATTCTCCAGTGAAAAGGTCATCTGGTCTGAATCAGGAGAGAAATATGCACAGATCAAGCACCATTTACAAATTACAAGACAGACCTAAACAGCTCGAAACAAATATGTGGGTGGATTTTGATGTGAGAGACAACAGGGGATGGACTAATTCACTGGAGGAACTGAAGTGTTATTATGGATTATGGACTCATATTCTGGCCAAAAGCGACTGTTTTAAGTTAAAACGGCTTCATGATAGATTTGTTTCTTACAAAAACACAGCTTTTCACTTCAGAAGATGTTAACTGATGGACTGGAGTGGTGTGGATTACTTGTGGATTACTGCAATGTTTTTATCAGCTGTTTGGACTCGCATTCTGACGGCACCCATTCACTGCAGAGCATCCATTGCTGAGCGAGTGATATAACGCTACATTTCTAGAATGCTAAATTAAAATTAAAATAAAATGCTAAACTAAAAATCTGTTCTAACGAACAAACAAACTCATCTACATCTTGAATGAGTAAACTTGAGGCAAGTAAAGTTTAATTTTTGGGTGAACTATTGCTTAGTACTAGCAACTACCTAAAACTTTCCAACAACCACCAAGAAGTGCACTAGCAGCTTATGATTACACAATACTAATTTTACTACCTATTTTACTTCCATTATCTAACATATTGAATCAGGATATTCAATGAGAAAAATGTATAGGAATTTTTTCCATCAGAAATCGAAATTTATTGGAATATATATGCATTGATAAATCATTCACAAAAAGACCAGGAACATGTCTTAAGAAATCCCGATTCGATTTGATTTCGATTCGCAAGCTCTCGATTCGATTCTTGATTTTTTATTTTTACATTCAGTGAATATAGTTTTAATACAAATGCTGTTGGTATTTCTAAAAAAAATGAACAGTAAACATCAGTTAACAAATGGTGAATTAATAAAAAGAAATTAAGAACCACATGCCTGTATTTTAAACCTATAGTTTTTTTTGTATAGGGTCCTTTTTTAAACAACAATAGGGCTCTATAAAATGTTCTTAATTTTTCTGGTAATCAGATGAAGGCATAAAACATTAATTTAATTTATCCTAATCAAATGAAAATTAAACCCTTTTATTTTTTGGCAAACAAAGTGCTGCACAACAGAGGTTTACTGTTAAAATTAAAAAGAAAACAGATGTGATTATTCTTTTAAAAATAAAGATTTATTAATATTTATTAGCAGTAGTAGACTTAAGTAGTCTTAAGACTGCTAAATAGTAATATAGTCTGACCGTAGAACGTTAAACTAAACGTTTATTTTGACGGGTTGCCATGAAGAACTTCCAGTTGCTGTGTATGTGATATGACGGTAGTTTTCTCAAATGAAACAGTAAATGCTAATGAAGTGACTCTCAGAGCAGCTGGAGATGACATTCGTGTTCATATCATCATAAAGTGAGACGGCAGAAGCTGAAAACACCACGAGTGTCATCCGCGCTTTAGTATGTGTGTAGTAAACAAAACAGTGCGCCGCACCATCCGCCATGATAAGCGCATTGCGCTATATTGATTTATAGTATTACAATAGCACTTCACCTGAGCATTGTGAATCACGCGTATGGCCATGATAAGCGCTGAATGAATGACAGGATTTCTGTTGTAACATCACGCAAGGTAAATAAGGGTGACATCTAGTGGAGAAGACTAATGATAAGATTCACCTTAATCAGATCTTGTTTTAAATGTGTGCTGAAATAAATCCCGGAAAAGATCGATTCGCGGCTTTTGAGAATCTATATCAAATCGACGTCATTTAAAAAAATTAGCAATAATCATGCTGTCTAATCAGCATCTTGATATGCCACACCTGTGAGGTGGATGGATTATCTCGGCAAAGGAGAAGTGCTCACCAACACAGATTTAGACAGATTTGTGAACAATATTTGAGAGAAATAGGTCTTTTTTGTACATAGAAAAAGTCTTAGATCTTTGAGTTCAGCTCATGAAAAATGGGGGCAAAAACAAAAGTGTCGCGTTTATAATTTTGTTCAGTGTATTTTGCTATCTATATCTTGAAAGATAAATATATTGAGTAAAATGACTCGCTATCGCCCTCTACTGGCCTGCGCTTACATTACTATTTACACCACAACAATTACATTTCCAATCAATCAGTGTTATTCATTGTAAAGTGAATAAACAGCCTTAAAACAGACATGGCCAATGGAAACAAATTTTTCAAAACCACGCAAAAAATATTACACATCATGCTGAATAATCTACTGATAACAACTTTCTGTCAAACTCACTTACGACCGCAAGCTACCTCAACACGCAGTTCTGCTTGTAAACATGGCTATATTTTGCACGCTTGCTGTGAGGAAACCCACAGGGATGCTCTTACCTCTCCGGTCAGGTGGATCCAGCAGTAATTTCGGGGTTATGGGGTGTTCAGAAGACTGCTGAGCTCTGTGAAGGCATCTGAGCTCGCGCAGACAGCACCGCCTCACACCGGGACGGACCCTACAACTGCTCATGAATATTAATTAGGTCGAGATGCTATTGCTCCGCTACATGCCTATCAGGAAGGTTTGCTTATGAATATTAATAACCTTGTGCTGACGTCGCTTCGTAGCCGTATGGCTACGGTTTGGCTCATTACATGAAGTAACAAACAATTAAAACTAATACATTCGCCTCTGGGACATGAAATGAGGGCACTAATCCAACACAGATCTTTACAAACAACAATCATTCACTGATAAATGACTACTTTATTTATTAACTAATATTTATTTTGACGACTTTTTGATTAAAGTTTCTTGATTTTTTCATAATTGTATCAAATCTCAAGCCTGCGCTTCACTGACACTGTTGTCTCGTTACTAATCAACACTAATCAAAGTGCCTAAACACTCCTATAATTTTATACTTAAATGTTCATATGAATAATGCCCATTGACAAGCAATATCAATGCTAAATTAAAAAAATGTTACCATTCAGTGATGAAAAAATAAACATGCTTTGACAAAGAATGAGCTGGTTCAAAGATCATGTGAGGTTGGATAATGTGGTATTTGGCAAAGGAACTGAGGTATTGGGGTTCAAACATTATTACAGGAAATTTGTCAACTGGAAAGCCATCAAGGCCCTTTTTGCCATCTAATCAGATGTTTTTAAAGGATTACTCGAACAAAAAATCTGTGTGATATTCTCAAAGGCAGTAAGTGCTTCTGAGGGATATGTACAGATATGTTCATAGTTCTCATGTTATGCATGCTCTCTCTCAGACCTGCCAATCAACAGAGAAATGTCATTGATTAGAAAAATGATACATTTGAATTTGCACATAAGACTGTGAGATATTGCAATATGACTGACCGATTTACTCTCCATGAGATCTGAGAAAATGGAAATTAGAAATCAGCAACCGTCCATCACAATAAGTACAGGCACTTATGTCAGTTTGAAATGAGAAGTATTGAGCTGTCAGTCACATTATATGCTGCCACATGTGTATTGAAGCTCACCATTCATTTCTAAAATCTTTGAATGATGAAGTTTACTGAAATGCCTGGAAATCACATGCTGGTATGAAAATAAACTCACTGGAGTCCTAAACGCCCCCTCTGAGCCTTCAGTATTAAAAACAGATCTCTATAAGAACAGTCAATCAATGGATGCTCGACAGCCAGAGCTTGTCTTTACATTATTAACTAATTCATCACAGATCTAAAGCATCTTTGTTATCTGATTGATTATCTCTGTTGGTTTTGTGAGCTTGTATAAAACTCAGCTGTGTCAGCATGAGTGTGTGTGTGTGTGTGAGTGTGTGTGCGTGTGTGGACACAAAGAAACAGAAAGACAGAGACGTTCACTTCATCTATTTACACATCTAAAGAAGCATCTAACATCAAAACCATGTCCGGGTCGTATTTCACCCCAAAATCAAAAGAAAGAAACATTTTTTGTATAAAATATTTATATAAAGTAAGTGAAGGCTATTTTTTTTACAATTAAAGTTATAGTTAATCCAAAATAAACAATTTGCTGAATTTACTCACTCTAGGCTATCCAAGATCCAAGATAGTTTTTTTCATCAGAACTGATTTGGAGAAATGTAGCATCACTTGCTCACCAGTGGATGCTCTGCAGTGAATGGGTGCCGTCATAAGAGTCCAAACAGCTGATAAAACCATCACAGTAATCCACAAGTAATCCACACCACTCCAGTCCATCAGTTAACATCTTGTGAAGTGAAAAGTTTGTGTTTCTAAGAAACAAATCCATCATTACTGTTAGACATTATATAACTTCAAACCGCTACTTCTGGCTAAAATAGTCTATAATCCTAAGTAACACTTCCTCCAGTGAAAAAGTCATCTCATATGAATCAGGAGAGAAATATGCACAAATCAAGCACCATTTACGCATTTATTACAAACATGCAGCTTTTTACCTTTTACCTTATTTGATGGACTGGAGTGGTGTGGATTATTTGTGGATTATTTTGATGCGTTTATCAATTTGGATTCTCATTCTGACGGCATCCATTCACTGAAGAGGATCCATTGATGAGCAAGTGATGGATTGATACATTTCTACAAATCTGTTCTGACAAGTGATGGAATGATGCATTTCTCCAAAACTGTTCAAAACATCTCATATAAATTTGTGGGGTTGCTGTCAGGAAAATAATATGTGACCCTGGAGCACAAAAGCAGTGTTAAGTCGCTGGGGTATATTTGTAGCAATAGCCAAAAAAACATTGTATATGGGTCAAAATTATCGATTTTTCTTTTATGCCAAAAATCATTAGGATATTAAGTAAAGATCATGTTCCATGAAGATATTTGTAAATTTCATTTAAATTTCCAAATATATCAAAACTTAATTTTTGATTAGTAATGTGCATTGCTAAGAACTTCATTTGGACAACTTTAAAGGCGATTTTCTCAATATTTCGATTTTTTTGCACCCTCAGATTCCAGATTTTCAAATAGTTGTAACTCGGCCAAATATTGTCCTATCCTAACAAACCATACATCAATGGAAAGATTATTTATCCAGCTTTCAGACGATGTATTTCAAAAAAATTTAGCGTTATGACTGGTTTTGTGGTCCAGGGTCACATATAACAAAGCAAAAAGCAAAATTCTTGATGTTAACTTTCGTGATGCATGTTTTTTGATCTTTTGATTTTGAAGTGAAACTGCACTTTCATAGTTATCTTCTCTATTGTTTCTTCCTCAGTTCAACTGATTATGTAACATGTAATAAATGTTTTCATCTAATAACCTGATTCTGGAATATAAAAAGTATTAAGCACATGTTTACTGTTGGACAACCTTGGTTTTAATGCCATGCATTTATGCAACATGTTTACTATATGCTATATGTTTAGATGTCAAGTGGTGACCCAACACAATACCAAATCCTCAACTCATATTTAATGTTTTCTAGGTTGTATTTTCTTTTACCATGAAAGGTTTCGTTTTCAGATTTTGGACATTTGCCCATTTGACTTCTGCCTGTTTGGACAACGTCTACCAAATGACAATGAAGTTTAATTGGGGAGTATTTTCTAACTGTGCATGATTATATGGTTAGTTATATTATTTGCATTTTGCAAGACCCACCAGTTGAGAATCACTGATGTAGTCAAAGGAGATCTAAGCGCTTTCACACATACTAGGCACAGATATTCTCTGATGGATGATTATTATAGGACGTCCGTCTCTATACCTACACACAGCACTGATGCCCTTCTATTTTCAGAGTCGCAGTGATTATAGCCTCTTTAATCAGAGCTGACAGCAAGAGCCAAAGAGAGATGTCGTATTGGAATACTGCATGGATGGATTGGAGCCAGAGTGTGTTTATGAGTGAGGCATGTAGGAGTGTGTGTGTGTGTGTGTGTGTGTGTGTGTGTGTGTGTGT